GCAGATGAATTTCCTTTTAGGTTCTGGGCAATTTAAGTAAATGAATTTTTCTGGTTTCTAATGACGGCTCGGCCAGGTTGGTGTTGGACCCGGCCCGGTTGGACCCGGCCCGGTTGGACCCGGCCCGGTTGGACCCGGTTGGACCCGGGCCCTTTGACATCAGAAGAAGCTCAGCAGTTCCTCCAGATGTTTGCTAATTGCTGCTGGCTAGTCTGAAGGAGCTGAGTGGGGGGTCTGCTCTGCTGGTGGAAACTTTGGGGGCGGGGCTAGGTCCACCCAGGCGTTTTGCAGCTGACTGGTTGCCATGGAGAGTAAAGGACACTGTTTGTTTTTGATGAGGGAAAAACATTCATGATGCAAACCTTAGAAAAATGATTTTACATGATCCTGTAATAGAAACAGTTTGTGAAATCAATTTTTAGCAGGATGTTCTGATGAAGGCTGGCGAGGCGACGCGTTCCGGGTTTGACCTCCAGGGCTTCGCCGGGGGGTGAGGGGTCGCTCCAGGACTACCGTGGTCCACTTCCTTATCTGTCAGGCGGAGCGGCCCGCCGAGCCGGCAGGACAGGGTATCGGGTTCGGGCCGCGGCGAGGGGGTCGCGACCCCGGCTGGAAAAGGCGCTACTGTTCTGCTCCGCTCAAGCCTGTAAAAGAGAAGCCTGTTCTCTGGGAGGCAGCCGGTCCGGCGCTGCACTCACACCAACCGGGTCAGAACCAGAACCACATAAAAAGTCCCTGATCGTCTAAAAAACATAAACGCTGCAGGTCAGCTGTGTCACAGAACCACTTCCTGTGCGGTTTGTCCTCTTTGTCTTCCTTTGTGACGACGTCCCGCCGCCACCAAGCGCCGGCGGTGTCACCAGAACCAGCTGTGGCCCGAGGGCTGACATACCTGGCAGAGGAAAACGACCGCTCTATTACCTGGGAGCGCGTCTTTGTTCGCTCTGATGACGGACTCAACAAAGGAGAGAGGAAGTGTCTTTATGTGAGGGAAGAGTCCAGCCCTGCAGTCAGACCAGCTGTCCCGGTGGTCCGGAGCGTCCTCAGGCGGTTCTGATGGGCCAGAGGAGCCGCAAGCTGAGAGTTTAACTCCTGAGGCCAAAGCAGCAACGGTACCGACCCAAAGAGCCCAAAGCTGATTTCACCAATAAAGCCAAGACACTTCAGGATTAACCTCAGAAGTTTTCTAGAAATTAACCAACTTTTCATGTTTAAAAATTCTCAAATTTGTACATTTTGAACAGAAATGAAACATTTTGATTCCATTGGTTTGTTATGTTGCACAAAACAAACCAGTTATATAAAGAAGTTTCATATTCCTGACAGAATCCCCTGGATTTTAGTTTAAACTGTTTCAGGAAGACAAACAGGCCCCCAGCATCACAGATCCTCCACCGTACTTACCAGGCTGGTGTTTTTCTACATCATTATTTTCTGAACAGATTTATGACTGTTGCTGGTTTTCTCTGCTCCAGTTAAAGTCCCAGTAGCAGGTAGAAAACTCCAGATGTGGGTCAGACTGTTACTCTCTGGATGAGTCCAGCAACCGGAGCTGGACCCGGTTCTGTTCAGGTTCTGATCTGAAACCCAGTGAAACCGTCGATCTTTAACAAATCAGTTTTTAATTTCCAGATTTAAACTCGGTGAGAATGAAGAGAACAAGTTTGTGTTGCTTCCATCAGAACCTGAACAGAACCTGAACAGAACCTGAACAGAACCTGAACAGAACCTCAGCGTTAGTTTTCCATCGTCACTAAATCGTTTCCTCAGATGGTTCTACTGGAAATAACTCGGCTTGTTGGATCTTAATGAGGAGCTCTGCAGTGGGTCCTCCTGCCTCATCCATTCATTTATTCATCCATTCATCCATTCATCATGTGCAGCAGGACACCAGCTGAGAGTGATCCACCCCCAACCTGGACACACACACACACACACACACACACACACACACACACACACCAAGACACACTTCAGCAGTTGATCTGCAGCCTGATAAGATGGCCGCCATCCTCACACACCTGAAGGTGTGTTTCCTCAGTGTGAGGCGGTTCTGGTTTGGTTCTGTGTGTTTGTGTCTCAGAAGTTTCTTTTAGCATGTGATGGAAGTCGGTTTGTAGCTGCAGGATTCCTCGGCGTGCCGCTGCACGCCTCCATCCGTCTGCGCTGCCGCATTCTGTCTGCTCCTCATATCAATGACACGCCTGGACCAGAACACACACATCTCCACTTGGACCCGCCCACGAGGCCACGCCCCGTTCACGCCGTCTCAACCAGCCTCCAGCTTTACTTCTGTACGCTCTGGTTTTATCAGATTTCTCTTTGCTCTGTTGTGAAAGTCGCTGATTTATTTTACAGCCAGAATCCATCCTGCTCAGTTCTCATCTCCTTCAGTCTGCGTTTTCTTCCATTGAGCTCAATTTCTCCAGTGAATCTCAACCGACTCAATGAGCGAACAGGAGTTTAGAACAAACATTTTTTAATAAACCCAGTTGTATATAATATCAATATAACCACATGATGCTTAATCCCTCCTTCCAACATCAAACATGGCTGAATTATTTTACACAGAATCCAGATTTTTAACATCATATAAATCAAAGATTTCACTGATTTGTTTGATGCCAAAGTTTTAAGTTACATTTTTATTGGCATGTTTGGAAAAGTAAAGAATTGGGTATTTTATGTGAGAAATGCTTTGATCCTCCATTTAAATGTTAAAGGTTGTAGAGATGATGCTGGTTTTTATCCACCATCTTCCTGCATTAAATTCACCTTCTGTGTTTTCATCCTTGAAGTTTGGTGCAGATCTGATCCTCTGAGCTCAGGTTGGGTTTAAACCCAGGCCCGTTTCCTGGTTTTGAGGAATCTGAAGGGATTCATGTGGGTTCTGAGTCCGTCTGAAACCGGAGCTCCGATCGGCCCGAGGCGCCGCAGGACCGACGTCTCTGTTACATAAGCTTTTAAAAGCTCCGGATTATCTGAAGTGTTTGAGCAGAACCCCCCATGGAGCAGGGCCGGGTCCATGGAGCGGCGCGGTGTGACGGGACAAACAGCTTCTGAGCAGATCCCTAATCTGATCCCTAATCTGATCCCTAATCTGGTCCCTAATCTGGTCCCTTTGGATCCCAGCTGATCACTGATCGAAGCTCTGATGCTTCCCGGGTTGAAAATGTGTCAGATATGAAGAACAAACATCTGCATGAATTTGATCAGGTTCATAAAAACGATAAGAAACAATAAAAGTAGCTGTTAGCTTTGGATCATTGACTTCCTGTTAGAAGCAGAATCATGTTGGGTTCATTTCCAGCTGTTCCTCTCCAGTGTCGCCCTGTGCTTGTTGAGGAGCAGAAACTGCTGGAGACTTGATGCAACCAGCTGTTGCTGCTGCTGCTGCTGTTGCTGCTGTTGTTGGTGCAGCAGCAGCTGCTGCTGTTGCTGTTGCTGCTGTTGTTGGTGCAGCAGCTGCTGCTGCAGTTGCTGCTGCTGTTGCTGCTGTTGTTGTTGCTGTTGCTGCTGCTGTTGCTGCTGTTGTTGCTGCAGCTCCTGCTGTTGTTGCTGCTCCAGCTGATGATGGCTGAGCACTGAGGGAGAGGAGGAGGAAGAGCAGGGGCACTTTTACTAAAATAGAACAAAGTTTTTCTCTCTAAACGTGAAAATAAATGATATTTTCATTTATAATCATTTCCAAGCTGAAGGTTTAATGAAAGCAGTGAGATCAAAACCTTCACAGAAAAATAATGACGATTAAAAAATAAAAAATCCCTAAAACTTTACTTATGAAAACACTTATTACTAAAATGATTCTGCAGACAAAAGATTTTATTTCAACAAGTTTGTGAGAAATTAATATTTATTTTCCAGGACAGAAGAGAAAATTAGAAAAATAAATGGTTTCAAAAATGTTTCTCAGCATAAAAAAGTCAAAAATAATAAAAGGTAAAAATAGAAAAACAGACAAAGAGATAATTTAATGTTTTATGTTGATTAAATAAAATACTAAAGAATTCAATGAATCTTTTGCTCATTTTGATTTAATTAATAAATTAGATAAAATATAAAAATATAAACATGTTGTTCATGTGAATATATATTAAATAAATAACATGTAATAATAAAACCATCTCTTTGTTTTAATGTCAAACTGAAATCTTTAAATCTCAAAGTTTCAGTTCCAAATAATTCTAATAAATAATAAATAACTGGAGTTTCTCCAGATATTCAGTTTTATCAGATATTTGAGTTGCTGCTGCAGAAATCAAAAATAACATTAAATATTATTAAATAACATTAAATATTATTAAATAATATGTTTATTACTGAGTTGAAGCAGGACGGACAGGAACAGAACGACTTATTTTTAATAATGAAAACTAATAATAATAATAATAATAATAATAATAATAATAATAATAATAATAAATATATATATGCATATTTTTCATGTTGCTGCTTGCAGGGTTTTAATCATTAAATTAAATGGAAACGAATGAAAATATGAATTAAGTCTCATTTACTGTAAAAATATTTTATAACCAGTTTAATAAAATGTATTTGATCAGAGCGGAACTGGAGGGATGCGGTTATAATTATAATTATTAATATTATTATCACAATATGCAGATGGACAGTTTCATGTAGAAACGGTCAGTTTACAGGAATCCAGATGATTTTTCTGGATTAAAATGTTCGATTCTATAAAATGATAAAATAAATGAATTTATACTAAAAGAGTGAAATTATGTTTTACTCTTTGCGCCAGGAGTTAAAGGCGCAGTCCGCAGCGTTGCGCTGGACTGGGAGCTGATCTGCGCTGATTGGCTACCTGGGCCTCTCGCGCGCACACGCACGACTCTCTCTCTTCTCTCTCCCTCTCTCTTTTCTTCCTCCCTCCCTCCCTCTCTCCCTCTCTTTTTCCCTCTCTCTCTCTCTGAATGAACATCCTGTTTAACATTCCGATCAACGTCAGCAGCTGAAGGTGGACCGCTGCGCTGCGACGCTGCGCCTATAAAGCCGCTGCAGCGCCGCGGCTGCAGGAACCTTCAGGCTGGAGCCGCAGTGGGAGAACCAGAGGATCTGAGAGGATCTGAGAGGATCTGAGAGGATCTGAGAGGATCTGAGGAGATCTGAGGAGATCTGGGTCTGCGGAGGAAACGCGTGGTGGAGGTAAGCTCTTTGGATCAGAACCAGACATCAGCCAGAACCTTTTAGGACCTAAAAGGAGTTTTTCTGAAGTGGCTCAGAATCAGCAGCAGTTGCAGCTTTTAAAGCGGATTTATTGGCGCTGCTCCATAAAGTCGGACCGGGTCGGGCCGGTCCGGGCCGGTCCGCCCGGGCCCGGGGCGGCTGGGCCCCCAAACTGTACCCATAAAGGCGCGCAGCTTTACGGACAAGCCCGCGCAGGCAGACCCGTAAAAGAGTCTGGAATGGCTGCAGGTCCTGATGAGGTTCGGTCCTGATGAGGTTCGGTCCTGATGAGGTTCATGTTTCGGGCTGAGCGGGAAACATTCAGCTCCACGTGCAGCTCGAGTTCAAATGAAATCAATTTTTCCTTCCAGCTGATTTTCCCTCAATTTGCGGCTCTTTCCTTCCAGCTCCAGTCTGACTGCGGACCCGAACCGCGCTGCGCTGCGCTGCCGCAGGTGGATGCTGGGAAGTGGACCGCTCGGAGGAGATGTTCCCCCTGGCCCAGTTCGGGGTCCTGTCGGCCCTGGCCACCGCGCTCACCTCGGTGCTGTCGGCGCTGCTGCTGCTGGTTCTGACCCGGCAGCTGTGGAGCCTCCGCTGGAGCCTGACCCGGGACCCGAACAGCAGCCTGCCGCTGCCGCGGGGCTCCATGGGCTGGCCGCTGGTCGGAGAGACCTTCCACTGGCTCTTCCAGGTCAGAACCTCCTCCAGAACCTCCTCCAGAACCTCCTTCAGCAGCTCCAACTTCAGCCTGGAGCCGCTGAAGTTCTGGTCCGGGTTCTGCAACATGTGCGGACTTGACTTCTGTCTCTGCAGCAAGAACTGGAAGTTTGGGTTCGGTTCGGTTCTTCCGTTCTGCGCAGAAAATGAAACCGATCCAGATTCAGTTTACGCGTCTCTCTCATGTTTCCAGTTTTTCCCTTCATTAAATTTCTCCAGGTTTCACTTGCTTTTCTGTCACTTTGGTTCTTTTCTCACTTTAAAACCGATTAACAGAATAATCCGCGGAGAATCAAAGCTTTGATTTAATGCATTAATGCAGCAGTTTAAAAATATTAAATTCATCCATTATCTTGAGGTTTTTAAGGCTTGATGAGAGAATCTGGGAACATTTAACTTTCTGTTTCTCTGGACACTAAATATGAATCCATGGAGATTCATTTATTCTTGGTCTTCAAACAAACAAAAAAAACTTCAAAAAGTCTGAAAATAAAAATTACAATCCGAGACTTTCCAACCAGTGGGAGCAATAATTAAAGATCTGGACCTGAGATCAAACATGAGTGAAGAAACATCTGGAGAAACAGACATTTTGGGGTCTCCAGGGCAACCAGCTGGTTAGAGAACATGTCTGGAAAACGACGTTCCCTCCTACCGTCTCAAATGTAAACGTGGAGCTGATTTAACAGAACAGGTTATTTTAGTGATGCAGTCATGTCTGAACACGGTGGAGGATCCGTGAGCCTGTGGGCCTTTAGAGGCAACAAAACCTCTGAAACCTTTTGATTCAAAATCAGCAGAAAACCTGAAAGCTGAGCTGAAGAGTCCAGAGCTTAAGAGGATCCAGCAGAGAGGATCCAGCAGAGAGGATCCAGCAGAGAGGATCCAGCAGAGAGGATCCAGTAGAGAGGATCCAGCAGAGAGGATCCAGCAGAGAGGATCCAGCAAGGAGAGCAGGAGAAAGAGGAGCTGCAAAAACACAACGTCCTGCGCGATGCTGTCCAGTTTTCTGCTGCAAATATTTCAGTGACTTTTCAGCAAGAATTTTGTTTTATGCCAATAATTTATTATTATTGATTAAAAATGTTCTAGTTCCCACTGACAGATTATTTTATTTATAACAAGTTTTTTTTTCTGAAAAAGTACTTGTAAGTTATAACATTTAAAAAACAAAACTAAGATATTTACACAGGAAACGAGACAAAACAGTAAGATTTATGTTTCTGCAGTGAGGAGAGGAGCAGGCAGGAGCAACCAGGAAGCAAAAATCAGCTGCTCAGCTGAGAGAAAAGAGAAAACCCAAAAGGGAGGAGGAGAGGAAACCAGAACAGTTACCAAACCAGACAATGGCAAAAACTAAACAAACTGGAAAATAACTGAAGCTAAAAGTCCAAACAGGATCAATTCTTCTTTAGCTTTATGGAATATGTTTTCCAATCTTCCTGTGTCCTGTTTCCCACTGCAGGGCTCCAACTTCCACATCTCTCGGCGGAAACGCCATGGCAACGTGTTTAAGACCCACCTGCTGGGGAAGCCCCTCATCCGGGTGACGGGCGCCGAAAACATCCGCAAGATCCTGCTGGGGGAACACAGCCTGGTGTGCACCCAGTGGCCCCAGAGCACCCGCATCATCCTGGGGCCAAACACCCTGGTCAACTCTGTGGGGGACATCCACCGCAGGAAGAGGAAGGTGAGGCATCGGCCTGCGGGGCGGGCGGGGCCTGCGGGGCCGGTGGGGCCTGCGGGGCCGGGCGGGGCTGGGCGGGGCCGGTGGGGCCGGATGAACCGCACTGCATTCTGGGGGATGTACACTGTAACAAACTGCCCTGTATTTTTACAGTACAATGCTGGCAGCAGGGTTGCCAGCATTGTACTGTTAATTATACAGTACCCTTACTGTAATCAACTTTACAGTATATTACTGTCACAAAAGAAATCTTTTGTGACAGTAATATACTGGCAGCTGTGTTGCCAGTATATTACCGTTTTTCTATGGTACCATTACTGTTGAATTCACATACAGCTTACTACTGTAAATTTCCAATATAAAATAGAAACATGAAAAAAAAAACACTTAGAAATGTAAGTTCCATCATGTCAAACATTTATTTGGGAAAAAAAGAACCAACTCAAACATCGACTCACACGGTGTTTAGTGGGCCACATAATAAAGACGAAGGTTTTGAAACGACAACGTATGTGTGCCTTAAACCTAAACCTTTTCTACAAGAATGTTGAGGGTAAACTGTCCAAAGTAAGTCAGATTCTGGAACAACAGTAAGAAATCACCATCTATTTTGTGAAATAAATTTCTTAACTGATGTAAAGAGTATTTGAATAAAGCATGAATTGTGGCCTTTTGATTAGTCTGAAATAAAATAAGTATGAAATAAATTATAGAAATAATGCATTGTACAACTCAGCACACTACTTTTTCAATACAAAATATGACTTTTTGTGGAAGTGAGGAACAATATGATGCAACATAAACATTTAACTTTCAATCTAAAGCATAGAAAAAAATTGCACATTTTAGTTTGATAAAAATTTAAATGAAACATTTAGACTTGAATTTCCTTTAGGGCAAAATCAGAGCTCCAACTTCAGATGATAAAACAATGAAACAATATTAGACAAGATAAGTTAAACATGGTGCCTGTACAGTCAAAATTACATCTGAAGAACAGAAAGTGGGAGCCTTAACAAAATGTATGCTCTTAATTAAAAGAGATGTCTTCAGATTATGCTGACCTTTAAACCAAAAACATCTCTCAAGAACACTCCTGTTCAGGGATAAGTTGCCTTCATGCCTGGATAGTTTTTTTGTTTGCTTGTTTTTGCGTGGAGGGGCAACAATATCTATAGCTTGGTTAGAAAGTTCTCACTATGAAATTCCATTCAAAGTCCAAGAGGTTTTTCAGCAGAGTTGAAACACGGGGGATGACAGTGACCGACTTCTTTTGAAAAGTTTTCCCTGTCCTCTTGGAGATGATCTTGCTACAGCTGGCCTTGGTCCCTCAGGGTTGAGATCAAGAAAGCCTGAAAATGCAGTAATTTCAGATTAGCATATGATGCTGCTTAAGGAGTCAGGGTTTAATGTGTGCTAGATGAAGACAAACTTTTGAATGTTAAGAGTTAATAAAGAGACACCAGCATAACATTTAAACAGTTTTCTGCCAAGTCAACTCTGTGAAACTCCAAATCCCCAGTTGATATCCATTCACCAATTTCACTTTAGCAGCTAATCATAGCAATTCAAGTCAAATTACACAAAAGAAAGAAAAAGAGCTTCCAAACATGTCAGTATTTGTAAATATGAATCATCAAAAATAACTTACCTTAGGATTGGCTCATAAAATGCAGGATTCAAATGGATAGTCCTTAAAGAAAGTTATAGAGGTTGCTTCCACATGTCACAACAACATGTCTTCTTCAGAAATACAGTAGCGTTCTGTTTAAAGAGCCTCCTTACCGTTGAATCCAACATCATTCCCACAATGCAATGCTACTCACAGTATACTACAGTATTTTATTAAAAACAGTAATAATTGCCCAGAATGCATTGTTTTTCACGGTGCAGTACCGTTTCCAATAGAAACAGTTTGATACTGTTCAGTTTTGGACGTTTTTTACAGCAATTTGTTACAGTGTAGGATTTGGAAAGGCTAGTCGCTAAACCCTCTGGTTGTGAGCTAAGCTACGTTGGTGACGTCAACTGACTCACTCGCTCTTCGGTTACCTAGCAACAACCTGCTGGGGAACAAGCCCTCCAAGCTCCCCCGACTTTGGTTGCCTAGCAACAGCGTGCTCATGAACTGGCGCAGCAGCAGTTTAAGTTTTCGACATTTTGCCTCAGAAATGCTTAAAAACAGAAAAACGAGGTGAAGTGAAAACTTTGGATCAGCAGGAAACAAAACGCCATCAGTCTGGTGATATTTTAGAAATAGAAACAAAAATCTGATCGATAATATTGACCAATTATATTGCAATATGTTTTTAGCCTTATTGCTCAGTCCTACTAAAATCTGAAAAATAAGACAAATAATTACTGAAGAACATTTATTTATGATAAAATACTTTGTTTTTGTTAACATTTTGTTTTCTCTATTTACATTCGTAGAAGTTCCCAGCTCTGTCACTGTGTCTGTAGAAACTGAGCTGAGTCTGAACGGTTCTGATCGGTTGAACTTTGACCCCTCTCTGCGTTTAGATCCTGGCCAAGGTGTTCAGCCGGGCGGCGCTGGAGTCCTACCTGCCGCGGCTGCAGGACGTCATCAAGGCGGAGATCGCCAAGTGGGTCTCTGACCCGGGGTCCGTCGACGTGTACGCCGCCGCCAAGTCTCTGACGTTCCGCATCGCCGTGCGGGTTCTGCTGGGCCTGCAGATGGAGGAGGAGAGGATCGTCTACCTGGCCACGACCTTCGAGCAGCTCATGAACAACCTGTTCTCGCTCCCCATCGACACGCCGTTCAGCGGCCTGCGCAAGGTACCGAACCCCGTCCGCACCCCGACCCACCTGGGACCCGGGCCGGTTCTGATGGACTTCTCTCTGCAGGGCATCAAGGCCAGAGAAATCCTTCACGCCAACATGGCGAAAATCATCGAGGAGAAGATGGAGCGGCAGCAGCTGGACGACGACTACCAGGACGCCTTCGACCTCATGCTGTCCGTTGCCAAGGAGCAGCAGGAGCTCAGCATCCAGGAGCTCAAGGTACCAGGAGACCCGAACCAGGAGACCCGAACCAGGAGACCCGAACCAGGCCGACCCGAACCAGGCCGACCCAAACCAGGAGACCCAAACCAGGACCCGAACCAGGCCAACCCAAACCAGGAGACCCGAACCAGGAGACCCGAACCAGGAGACCCGAACCAGGAGACCCGAACCAGGAGACCCAAACCAGGAGACCCGAACCAGGAGACCCAAACCAGGCCGACCCGAACCAGGCCAACCCAAACCAGGAGACCCGAACCAGGCCAACCAAACCAGGAGACCCGAACCAGGAGACCCGAACCAGGAGACCCGAACCAGGAGACCCGAACCAGGAGACCCAAACCAGGAGACCCGAACCAGGAGACCCAAACCAGGCCGACCCAAACCAGGAGACCCGAACCAGGCCAACCCAAACCAGGAGACCCGAACCAGGCCAACCCAAACCAGGAGACCCGAACCAGGAGACCCGAACCAGGAGACCCGAACCAGGAGACCCAAACCAGGAGACCCAAACCAGGCCGACCCAAACCAGGAGACCCAAACCAGGAGACCCGAACCAGACCGACCCAACCAGAAGACCCAAACCAGGAGACCCAAACCAGGAGACCCGAACCAGGAGACCCGAACCAGACCGACCCAAACCAGGAGACCCGAACCAGGCCGACCCGAACCAGGCCAACCCAAACCAGGAGACCCAAACCAGGAGACCCGAACCAGGAGACCCAAACCTGGAGACCCGAACCAGGCCAACCCAAACCAGGAGACCCGAACCAGGAGACCCGAACCAGGAGACCCGAACCAGGAGACCCAAACCTGGAGACCCGAACCAGGAGACCCGAACCAGGCCGACCCAAACCAGGAGACCCAAACCAGGCCGACCCAAACCAGGAGACCCGAACCAGGAGACCCAAACCAGGAGACCCGAACCAGGCCAACCCAAACCAGGAGACCCGAACCAGGAGACCCGAACCAGGAGACCCAAACCTGGAGACCCGAACCAGGAGACCCGAACCAGGCCGACCCAAACCAGGAGACCCAAACCAGGAGACCCAAACCAGGAGACCCGAACCAGGCCGACCCAAACCAGGAGACTCAAACCAGGAGACCCGAACCAGGCCGACCCAAACCAGGCCGACCCAAACCAGGAGACCCGAACCAGGCCGACCCAAACCAGGCCGACCCAAACCAGGAGACCCAAACCAGGAGACCCAAACCAGGAGACCCAAACCAGGAGACCCGAACCAGGAGACCCGAACCAGGAGACCCGAACCAGGCCGACCCGAACCAGGCCGACCCAAACCAGGAGACCCAAACCAGGAGACCCAAACCAGGAGACCCGAACCAGGCCAACCCAAACCAGGAGACCCGAACCAGGAGACCCGAACCAGGAGACCCGAACCAGGAGACCCAAACCAGGACCCAAACCAGGAGACCCGAACCAGGAGACCCAAACCAGCCGACCCAAACCAGGAGACCCGAACCAGGCCAACCCAAACCAGGAGACCGAACCAGGCCAACCCAAACCAGGAGACCCGAACCAGGAGACCCGAACCAGGAGACCCGAACCAGGAGACCCAAACCAGGAGACCCAAACCAGGCCGACCCAAACCAGGAGACCCAAACCAGGAGACCCGAACCAGACCGACCCAAACCAGAAGACCCAAACCAGGAGACCCAAACCAGGAGACCCAAACCAGGAGACCCGAACCAGACCGACCCAAACCAGGAGACCCGACCAGGCCGAACCCGAACCAAAAGGAGACCCAAACCAGGAGACCCGAACCAGGAGACCCAAACCTGGAGACCCGAACCAGGCCAACCCAAACCAGGAGACCCGAACCAGGAGACCCGAACCAGGAGACCCAAACCAGGAGACCCGAACCAGGAGACCCAAACCTGGAGACCGAACCAGGAGACCCGAACCAGGCCGACCCAAACCAGGAGACCCGAACCAGGCCAACCCAAACCAGGAGACCCGAACCAGGAGACCCGAACCAGGAGACCCAAACCTGGAGACCCGAACCAGGAGACCCGAACCAGGCCGACCCAAACCAGAGACCCGAACCAGGCCAACCCAAACCAGGAGACCCGAACCAGGAGACCCGAACCAGGAGACCCAAACCTGGAGACCCGAACCAGGAGACCCGAACCAGGCCGACCCAAACCAGGAGACCCAAACCAGGAGACCCAAACCAGGAGACCCGAACCAGGCCGACCCAAACCAGGAGACTCAAACCAGGAGACCCGAACCAGGCCGACCCAAACCAGGCCGACCCAAACCAGGAGACCCGAACCAGGCCGACCCAAACCAGGCCGACCAAACCAGGAGACCCAAACCAGGAGACCCAAACCAGGAGACCCAAACCAGGAGACCCAAACCAGGAGACCCGAACCAGGAGACCCAAACCAGACCAGACTGCTCCGGTTCAGAGGATGTGGGGTTCACTGGTTAACCAGGCTGATCAGGTTTAAAGGTTTCAGAGGGAAGGAAACTCTCACCTGTTGCCATGGTGATGTACTGATTACTGCAGCAGCTGATGTTTGGTGTAGCGCTCTGGATCAGTCTGGTTCAGTCTGGATCAGTCTGGATCAGCCTGGATCAGTCTGGTTCAGTCTGGATCAGTCTGGATCAGTCTGGATCAGTCTGGTTCAGTCTGGTTCAGTCTGGATCAGTCTGGATCAGTCTGGATCAGTCTGGATCAGCCTGGATCAGCCTGGATCAGTCTGGATCAGTCTGGATCAGCCTGGATCAGTCTGGATCACTCTGGATCAGTCTGGTTCAGTCTGGTTCAGTCTGGTTCAGTCTGGATCAGTCTGGATCAGTCTGGTTCAGTCTGGTTCAGTCTGGTTCAGTCTGGATCAGTCTGGATCAGTCTGGATCAGCCTGGATCAGTCTGGATCAGTCTGGATCAGCCTGGTTCAGTCGGGTTCAGCCTGGCTCAGTCTGGTTCAGTCTGGTTCAGTCGGGTTCAGTCTGGTTCAGCCTGGCTCAGTCTGGTTCAGTCTGGTTCAGTCTGGTTCAGTCGGGTTCAGCCTGGTTCAGTCGGGTTCAGTCTGGTTCAGCCTGTCTCTCAGTCTGGTTCAGTCTGGTTCAGCCTGGTTCAGTCTGGTTCAGTCGGGTTCAGCCTGGCTCAGTCTGGTTCAGTCTGGTTCAGCCTGGTTCAGTCTGGTTCAGTCTGGATCAGTCTGGATCAGTCTGGTTCAGTCTGGTTCAGTCTGGTTCAGTCTGGATCAGTCTGGATCAGTCTGGTTCAGTCTGGTTCAGTCTGGATCAGTCTGGATCAGTCTGGATCAGCCTGGATCAGCCTGGATCAGCCTGGATCAGTCTGGATCAGCCTGGATCAGTCTGGATCAGTCTGGATCAGTCTGGATCAGCCTGGTTCAGTCGGGTTCAGCCTGGCTCAGTCTGGTTCAGTCTGGTTCAGTCGGGTTCAGTCTGGTTCAGCCTGGCTCAGTCTGGTTCAGTCTGGTTCAGTCTGGTTCAGTCGGGTTCAGCCTGGTTCAGTCGGGTTCAGTCTGGTTCAGCCTGTCTCAGTCTGGTTCAGTCTGGTTCAGCCTGGTTCAGTCTGGTTCAGTCGGGTTCAGCCTGGCTCAGTCTGGTTCAGTCTGGTTCAGCCTGGTTCAGTCTGGTTCAGTCGGGTTCAGTCTGGTTCAGCCTGGCTCAGTCTGGTTCAGTCTGGTTCAGCCTGGTTCAGTCTGGAACAGTCTGGTTCAGTCTGGATCAGTCTGGTTCAGTCTGGTTCAGTCTGGATCAGTCTGGATCAGTCTGGATCAGCCTGGATCAGTCTGGATCAGTCTGGATCAGCCTGGATCAGTCTGGATCAGTCTGGATCAGTCTGGATCAGCCTGGTTCAGTCGGGTTCAGCCTGGCTCAGTCTGGTTCAGTCTGGTTCAGTCGGGTTCAGTCTGGTTCAGCCTGGCTCAGTCTGGTTCAGTCTGGTTCAGCCTGGTTCAGTCTGGTTCAGTCGGGTTCAGCCTGGTTCAGTCGGGTTCAGTCTGGTTCAGCCTGTCTCAGTCTGGTTCAGTCTGGTTCAGCCTGGTTCAGTCTGGTTCAGTCGGGTTCAGCCTGGCTCAGTCTGGTTCAGTCTGGTTCAGCCTGGTTCAGTCTGGTTCAGTCGGGTTCAGTCTGGTTCAGTCTGGTTCAGCCTGGCTCAGTCTGGTTCAGTCTGGTTCAGCCTGGTTCAGTCTGGTTCAGTCTGGTTCAGTCTGGATCAGTCTGGTTCAGCCTGGTTCAGTCTGGTTCAGCCTGGATCAGCCTGGTTCAGTCTGGTTCAGCCTGGTTCAGTCTGGTTCAGCCTGGATCAGTCTGGTTCAGACTGGTTCAGTCTGGATCAGTCTGGATCAGTCTGGTTCAGCCTGGTTCAGTCTGGTTCAGTCTGGTTCAGCCTGGATCAGCCTGGTTCAGCCTGGATCAGTCTGGATCAGCCTGGTTCAGTCTGGTTCAGCCTGGTTCAGTCTGGTTCAGCCTGGTTCAGTCTGGTTCAGCCTGGTTCAGCCTGGATCAGTCTGGATCAGTCTGGTTCAGCCTGGTTCAGTCTGGATCAGTCTGGATCAGTCTGGATCAGCCTGGTTCAGCCTGGTTCAGTCTGGATCAGTCTGGTTCAGTCTGGTTCAGTCTGGTTCAGTCTGGTTCAGCCTGGTTGAGTCTGGATCAGTCTGGTTCAGCCTGGTTCAGTCTGGTTAAGCCTGGTTCAACCTGGTTCAGCCTGGATCAGCCTGGTTCAGTCTGGTTCAATTGGGTTCAGTCTGGTTCAGTCTGGTTCAGCCTGGATCAGCCTGGTTCAGTCTGGTTCAGCCTGGATCAGCCTGGATCAGCCTGGATCAGTCTGGATCAGTCTGGATCAGCCTGGTTCAACCTGGTTCAGCCTGGATCAGCCTGGTTCAGTCTGGTTTAATTGGGTTCAGTCTGGTTCAGTCTGGTTCAGCCTGGATCAGCCTGGTTCAGCCTGGATCAGTCTGGTTCAGTCTGGTTCAGCCTGGTTCAGCCTGGTTCAGCCTGGTTCAGCCTGCTTCAGTCTGGTTCAGTCTGGTTCAGTCTGGATCTGTCTGGTTCAGTCTGGTTCAGCCTGGTTCAGTCTGCTTCAGTCTGGTTCAGTCTGGTTCAGTCTGGTTCAGCCTGGTTCAGTCTGCTTCAGTCTGCTTCAGTCTGGTTCAGTCTGGTTCAGTCTGGTTCAGTCTGGATCTGTCTGGTTCAGTCTGGTTCAGCCTGGTTCAGTCTGCTTCAGCCTGGTTCAGTCTGCTTCAGTCTGCTTCAGTCTGCTTCAGTCTGGTTCAGCCTGGTTCAGTCTGCTTCAGTCTGGTTCAGTCTGGTTGCGGTTTAGCAGTAGATGTCAGACTGGTGTTGGATTGGACTGATCTGGGCTGTGTGGTCAGTCCGATGATTAAACCCCAAATTTCATCCTTTTCTTCCAGGAAACAGCCGTGGAGCTGATCTTCGCTGCCCACTCCACCACGGCCAGCGCCTCCACCTCCCTGGTTCTGCAGCTGCTGCGTCACCCGGCTGTGGTGGACAAGGCCAGAGAGGAGCTGGAGGCCGAGGGTCTGGGATGTCAGCCGGAGCGGAACCGCAACCCGGCGGACGGTGCGCCGGAGACCGAGCCGGACGGCGGCTGTCCTGGGTCTCATGTCCCGTATCTGAGTCTGGAGAAGCTGAGCCAGCTCCGCTACATCGACTGCGTGGTGAAGGAGGTGCTCCGCTTCCTGCCGCCGGTCTCCGGGGGATACCGGACCGCCCTGCAGACCTTCGAACTGGACGTGAGTCAGAGCTGAAACCAGAACCAAACAGCAGTCAGTGGAAGGATCTCCAGATTCTCATTTAGTACCAACACTTAGCAACCCTCAGTTTAACGTTCATGAAGCTTCAAAGCAGACAAAGTCCACAGAAACGTTTTGCAGATTTGATGAAACACCTTCAGGAAGTGAAGAGTTAATGACTGAGATCATTAACGAGATGTCAGGAAGGAAAACATGAAGACATGAGGAAGGTTGGCATCCTGGCCCAAACGACCGGAACCTTCCGTTTCCCTCTGACTCAAAGACCAAGAATCTGTCTGCAGAACCGGATCCGCTCACTGCAGAACCGGATCCGCTCGCTGCAGAACCGGATCTGCTCGCTGCAGAACCGGATCCGCTCGCTGCAGAACACTGCAGAACCGGATCCGCTCACTGCAGAACACTGCAGAACCGGATCCGCTCACTGCAGAACCGGATCCGTTCACTGCAGAACACTGCAGAACCGGATCCGCTCACTGCAGAACCGGATCCGTTCGTTTTGTTTTCAGCCTCATCATGGAGACGTGAAGCTGATTCCTCTCCTCTTTTCCAGTTAAAGACCAAAATCAGGAAAATAATTCCTCATCTTAAATGAGAAGTTAAAAGTTGCTTTAATTTATGAATTCAATTATTTTTTCCACAAGTGTCTTTTTTAAACATTATTATTTTCCACTACAAACATTTTAAAGATTTGAGATCCAATTTTTATAATTGTGCAATTAGATTAAAAAAGAGATCTAAATCTGTGATTTTATTCAGATGTAAAGAATAAATCTGCCTTGGTCTAATTTTTCTGCTCTCATAGAAATCCTGGTTCTAGACTGAATCTTGGCTTTTGTTTCTCCACCTGCTGAGTTTTTCATGCAGGATTAGAGCTCAGAGCTCCTCAGTCCTTACATCCCCTCTCCTTGACCTCAACATGACCCCAATTTTCTGCCCCCATTGCCAAAAGAACAATTGTCATCTCTGCACCTTTTCCAGCAGTGATAAAGCCGAGAGGCTGGAAGGAGCTGAGCTGCTCCGGTCTGAAGGCGCGGCTCCGGTTGGAGGATAATAATGGTTCATTCTGTTGTTCAGTGTCAGATAATTAAAGAAACCAAGCCGTCATGGAAGCAGCAAAGCATATTATTATTATTATCATTATTATTTTAATGTGTGACAGACTGAGAATGATCCACTAATTATCACATTTCACATAAAAAAAATCTTGTTTTCTACTTTGAAGTCAAATTCTCGTTACGTTATTAGCTTTGAATTTGTCTCCAAACTGGAAAAGATGGTTGAATCTTCCACATAAAGAACTTCAGACCCATTTAGATTCATCTCTGGGCCACCAGAAGTTCTGACTGGTTTAGTTTCTCACTGCAGCCTCTGGTTTCCATTACAAACGTGTGAAAAACTGTCATCATTCTGCTAATGTTGAAAAAACACATTTTCACAAACACGTCAATAAGTCATTAACAACATGCTGCATCATAAACTGCTTCCTGTCTTCTTCGTGGTTTCTGCCAGTAGTAACATCTGGTTGTTGATCATGTGACTCGTGACTGAAAAAGTGTTTCCATCACTTTTTTTTAGGAAATAAACTGATTTTGTTACAGCCAGAAAAATTACGTCATCCAAACCTTTTCATAAAAAAACATTTTTTTCAAATTGCCGTGTTTTCATTAATGTGTAGGATTTCATCAACCTTTTGAAAGTAGAGATGTGGTTTCAGGTCCAGATTTAATAGATCATGAATTGGTGAAAAGTCGCTATGAAGGTTAACGCAGCAAATCAAACTACAAACCAACAAACGATTCATTAAACAATTCCTTTCCCTTCATCAACAGATGAATCTGCTGGTTTGAAAACCAGCTCTCATGAAGATCGGCCTGATTTTCCTCTTTGCAGATCTAAATGTTTGATGTTAACCAGTGAAGGTCCTGAAAAACAAGAACTGATCGAATGAAGTTCATCTTTCACATCTCAGTTTGTTCTAAAGCCTGAAGATGCTGATGCTCCGTTTTCCTCCCCGTGGTTCTAACGGCTGGTTCCGCTTCTCCCACAGGGTTACCAGATCCCTAAAGGCTGGAGTGTGATGTACAGCATCCGGGACACCCACGAGACGGCGGCGATCTTCCAGAGTCCGGAGCTGTTCGACCCGGAGCGGTTCGGCCCGGAGCGGGACGAGTGGCGCTCGTCTCGGTTCAGCTACGTTCCGTTCGGCGGCGGCGTGCGCAGCTGCGTGGGGAAGGAGCTGGCGCACATCATCCTGAAGACTCTGGCCGTGGAGCTGATCGGGACGTGCAAATGGACCCTGGCTTCAGAGGAGTTCCCCAAAATGCAAACGGTACCGATCGTTCACCCGGTGAACGGGTTGCACGTTCGATTCTCCTACAGCGACCCGCTGCAGACGCAACAGAACTGAGACTTTACACTACAAACTCTGAGCAACGGATCAGAACCTCACCACCGGGCCATCCTGCAGCACTTCAGCATCACCATCATCTCCAAATGCATCTAATTATTTGTGTTGCCTTTATCCTGCAGACGTCGCTTCGTTGGACTGAAAGAACATAAGCTAAGGTTTCTGTTCAGAAACCAACAGATCTCTCCGTCTTGTTCCTTTTTTACTGTCTGTAAATGAGATTTAAGTTATTTCATTTCAAAATAAGCCATCAGAGCTAAAGTTCTGCTGCTTCTCTAACTTCTACATCACTGTGAACCAGTTCATCTGAACCTTCAGAGTATTTCACCTCAGATTTTAGCTTGGTTCTGGTTTTGGGTGAGTTTTCTTCTTCTACTTCATCTGGTTCGATGTGCCTTTGAGCAAGGTGTCGGATCTGGAGGACCGGATCTGAACAGGAGTCACTTCTCATCACAGCCTGAAAGGTTCAGAAAAACTGGAGTTTTAAGAGACATTTTCTGGAGCCACTGAACCAAACTCCAGCTCAGAAAACATTCAAAATGTCCTCTTCTTTTTTACATGAATGTTTCATAGATCTGTGTCTGTTGTGCTAAATGAAGTAGTGTTCTGAATAATAAGCTGTATTTAAACGCAGATGGGCCTCATCTGCAGTAGAGACACTAACCTGTAATGTAAGCCTGTTTTCTCCTTTAGGATCTTAGAGTCTGCTGGTTCTGATGTCGTTGCAGGACCGTTAGCCTGCTAGCGGCGCTGTGAAATGTTAGCTGCAGATAGATTTATGGAAGAAGATAGCACTTTCTCCACTTTAAGAGTCTGTATATACTGTTGTTCACTGACAGGATCAGCTGTAGCTGCTGTACAGTCGATTTAAACTAGACTTAAACAAAGTTCTGGGAGTTTTTATTTGTCTTGAGAGTACACTGGGTCGGGTCGGTCCGGGCCGGGCTGGGTCCAGTTTACTAGAGCGTCTATCAAGTTATGTATAGATGTAACTCTTGTACATCAAACCTGAGAAACATCTTGTTGCCAGGCCTCTGCAGAGATGAATCTGCATTCACACCAAAACCATTTAGTCCGTTTTAATCCGGTCCGTTTTAATCCGGTCCGTTTTAATCCGGTCCGTTTGTTTGAGATGTGGATGCATAACCAACCACAAAAACCAAACTCAGCATCAGTTTGGTTGAAGTGAAAACCTCTCATGGCTGTTAGCTAAACACGAACATCTCGTTAAGCTACTCAGAGGCTTCCCTCACCTCAGCATGCTGGATGCTTGAAACTCAAAGTGATGTTATGACTCACTGATTAATTCTTCTCATAAATATTTGACCAGTTCACAGAGCACTGAAGTTTTGTTCCCAGTGAACAATGTGAAGGTGACATCACAGTAAACGCACCTCGTCCTGAAGCAGCTGAACTTCTGATCCCAGGAAACTCTCCCTATTCAGAGGCTCACATCTAAAGCAACACATACTAAGATGCTACTTTTTCATTTCTTTCCATTTCCTCATGTTTGCACCAACATGTTTTCAATGTGGCGGCGAATCCACAGAATCAAAGCAGCTCTGCAGCTCACAGTCAATCAATCGCTTTCAACAAAAAGTACAATACTTTTCTACACTCACTTTCAAAGAAAGCTTTAAAAACATTTTTAAAACTACATTTTCTGGAAAAGAAGTGGAGCATTCAGAAACCAGGTAAGTTTCATTTCTGCACAACAGATTTCTAAAATGTAATTTTTCTGTAGTTTCATGCATCAACACAGAAGTTGTCACTTCATGACTTTCACTATAAACTATCAAACACTGAGCTAAAAGCCAGCATTGTCTCTTAATGATCTTATTTAATGTGATGTTGTAAAACCGCGCCGTTTCCTGCCGCCAACACTAAAACATTCATTTCCTCGTTTAAAACTTATTACTGGAAGCACAGATTAACTGGGCCTGCTGAACTTTGAGCAGGTGTTTCTAAATATTCTGCTGGAACAAGGAGTTCCCAGCAGCTATTTGTACTCATTTGATGGAGTTGAACTGGTTTCATGACAGCGACTGACTGTTGCCACCTCGGAAGTTGAAAACTTCTGGAAACTCCCTTCCTGTCACCTGAGGGGCTGATTTTACTCACACCCAGGCGCTGATCCAGTTCCTGCTCAGTAGCCAGAATCCGACCTGGATTTTCGCTGTTCCACAAAACTAATTAAGTCGCAATTATGCAGTAATTACGGTCTTAAGGTGCCAAGTTATTGAAGTTATTGTAAGCTCTTGTTGAGAGGGAACCAGTTTTTAAACTGACATATAAAACCACAAAATGAGCCGAGTTCCCAAAAATCAGTTCATTCAGCAAAACTAACTAAATATGGAAGATTTGTTTGATTAAAAGCAACTTGTCTTTTCATAGACTTCTAGAGTCCTGAAGGAAACACATTATGGTTTTGAGTTTTAATAAAAATAAACTCTTTCACAGATGAATATTTTCTGACCAAATATTTAAAAATCAACGCTCAACAAATCATATCAAAGATATTTTGGAAACAGACGACTCACAAAGTCACGAGTCACTGAATAGTTTGTTCATTTTTGGTTAAACGTTGGGATCTAAAATGTTGCTTGATCAGCATGATTACTGAAAAAATACATTTTCTAGATAAAAATATGAAGCATTGTGAGAAAATCACATAGTCTTCAAATAAAGTACTTAATATTTTTATGCAAACATATTTTCATGAAGACTTGAAGCCAACTGGTTTTCAGACTGAAACCTGCAGGAAAGACGTTTCTCACAATATTAGGAAGAATAAATACATTTATGTTTCTGTAAAAAAGATATATAAATACATATTTCATTGCAAAGTAGTATTTCATAAAGCTGTCTTTCAGATTTGACTTGGACTCAAGTTTTAGTAACAATGTTAATCTGATGAATCGGGGAATTAAAGGAAGATGCTCTGAGTCACAGATTGCAGGATCAGGCTGTTATTAGCAGTGGTGGATTATTATGGGATGTTTATGGTTCACACGCTGTCCATATTTATAATAATGACCACATGAATGTCTCCAAATTCACGTTGAATTAAATGATTTTGGCTCATTTGGGAAACTAAATAAATGTAAGTGACCTCTGACCTCTCTCACTACTAAGCAGCTGCAGCACTTCCTGCTGGAAACGTCAGAATAAACTTCCTGTTCCACTCTGCCTCATTCATCATGTTGCATCTTAACTCTGAAACTTTTTCCTGTTTCCTCACAAACTGGAGTTTTGACTCAAAGATGTTTCTTTCATTTTATGAAATCTCTGCGGTTCAAAGACAAAGATTGGGACATTCATGTAGAAAATAAATCCAGATGTTTAATGATCAACCAAAACATTATAACCACCCAGGAAAGAGAAAAGTTGCTGCTATATTTCCTCACGGTTGGCAATGTCTTTTATTTTGAAATCTCCTTATTTTCCTGACTTTATAATGAAATGTGCCAATCTGTGTTGTGTTTACCTGACCGTGGGGTCTCTGTGGAAGGAGGGAGGGCGGGGGGGGGGGTCTCTCTGGAGGGGGGGTCTCTGTGGAGACTCAGAGGGGGGTCTCCTCTGAGTCTCGTTAAGATCACCGAGCGTTTCCAGCCTCCACCTGACCGCCCTAATTGACCAGCAGAGAACAGTTTGAAGCCATGTGGCAGAAAATTAATGGGACACACACAGTCTGGCCTATTTATGTCCTCTGTGGGACCCCGTACCTCTGCCAAGGTCTTTATCTGATGAACACTCAGCCGCTGTGAACTTGGCGATGTTTTTTACCCAGAGTTCACTGCGGTGTCACTGGCTGCTCAGGTCAGTGACTGGTCAGCTGCGGCGGGTGCATGGGAACCGGCGGGGACGCAACCTGTCCGGAAATATGAAGCCAATCTGTGAAACAACAGAGACGCATCAGCGAGGAGGGAGCCGAAAAATTAAACTCCTCGTTTCTGCTGGAGCAAAAATATCTTCTCACTTCTTATCTGCCCAGAAAAGTGAAAAGTACTGATCGAATTATCAGTCATTAATATTTAAAAGTTGCATCATTAGATGGAATAAAATATAAAATTAAGAGTAAATTGTAACAAAAGATAAAATCAGGCAAAATAAAATGTTTCCAAATCATTTTCTTTTAATAAAAAACATACAAAACTTTAACAGAAACTGCAAGTGTGTGAATTTTTACTTCAAATGCTTTTAATTCAGTGGCTAAAAAATAAAGAAATTTTATTCAACCAAGAGTAGAAATGCTTCATAATGAAATTAGTCAAGTAAAGTAAAAACAACTGTAGTCAAAAAAGTAACATTTAAAAAAAAGTTACTCAAGTAAAAGTAAGTGAGTAAATACTGGACTCTGAGTTTGAGTTTAATATTCCAGGATTTTGGTTTTTGCAGCTCAAGTCATTATTTTTATTCCAGCCTCTCAGGTTTGAACATTAAACTTGGACGTAAATTTTTCCATTTTTGGGAAACTGGAGTCTGATTTGGCAGAAGATCGATGGATTCAACACGACTTTTAATGGCTGCTGCGAGTTCTGGTGGACCCATCCGGCGGGTCCAAGGAAACCAGAGGATACAAATGGGCACTGGTTAAACTGGTGTGATAAAAAAATAAAGTTCACATTTAATTGTGATGCACCTGAAAAACCAGATCATCCTGGAGCAAAAATGTTCATAACTTTTTCCATGAGTGACGGCGATGCAGAAGATGCCCAGCAGCTCCTGTGGTTCGTTTTTCTTTCCTAAAGATCCTCGATGACCTCAGATCAAACCTGCTTTAATCCGGCCAATGAGATCCGGATTTTCCTCAAACTCAGAGCTATAAAAGGATTCGCTGGGTCTCCGGCTGCCTCCTTATTTCTGTATGTTCTGGTTCAAAGGCAGTTCTGCTACGATAAGCGACACCCATTTTCTAAATGAGGGGGAAAACGGGGTCAGATGGTGCCTGGGACACAGCGATCCGGGGCCAACATCGGCTCCCCGCAGCCACAGATATTTTACCTCCATTGTGTGTTTTCCTTCAGTTTATTTTAATCGCCGCTGCCTTCCCAGGAGAAGCCGCAACGCTGCAATCTTGGTGGTTCCTTGGAAGTTCACACTGACATTTATGTGCTGAGTCACTTTCAGGAAGTTGCCAGCTTCTATTGTGAGACTTTAAGTGGACTGAAATAAACCCTGGCAGCTGTGAAGTGCCACCAGGAGTCCGTCCAGCCTCGCTCTGCTATAAACGTCCCCCGCCTCGACTTCACCGGCAAATAAAAATAGTTCATCCTGGAGAAACGAGAAATGTTTTCATCCTTCAATTAAACTGCAGAACAACAGTTTTCATCCTGTTGTCGTCCTTATGACAGAAACAGAGACAGAAAGCTTTGATACATACGTAAGACAAACAGCTTAAGCTGCATTTCTACAAAACGCTCAAAGCAATTCAAATGCTAAAAAGGCGAAAATAAAACAATGTTTTAATCTGCTCCACCTGCTGTGACTCTGACCCAAACCAGCCTGTTCCCCTCCTGGCCTGTGGGGGCGCTGCACCAACAACCACTGCAGGAAACGACACTAAAACCTCTGAAGACGCTGAGAGCAACTTCCTGTTTCACCAGATGAAACAAGATGGAGGCGTCAGAGTTTAGTGATTTCTCTTTAGTCTTTGGCTGAAGACCAGGAGCCATTTCTGCTGCTAGCGCTAGGCTAACACGCTAGCTTTGGTTGGATTTACCCAGAATGCCCTGCGCTGTCGTCAGCCTTTAGAGCTTGGAGTTCACATATGCATTCAAACTGAACCAGAGTTCAGTTCAACCGAACCCAGACCAGAACTTCAGAACCTGATTACAAATCCACACTTAAAGAAACGAACTGGACTCCCTGGACTGGAACGGACTAC